ATGTGATGGAACCCGGCTTTCCTGCAGATGGCTGAGCACCTGCCTGCTGATGGGAAGTGGGGAATGAATTCCATGTTTTGCTTTGCTTGTGTGCATGGCTTTTTCTTTACTTATTAAACTGTCTTTATCTCAATCCATGAGTTTTCTCACTATTACCCTTCTGATTCTCTCCCCCGTCCAACTGTGGGGGGAGTGAGCAAGTGACAGGTTGCCAACCTGGGGTTAAACCATGACACTGAGCCAGGTACAAGTCAGAAGGACATGATTTCTCTGGTAATGGGCTTATACCTAGGATCTGCTCTTTGGCAAAGCACAGCACTGCCCAGATTCCCTGAAGACTTAAAGCTAGACATTTCATGATTTGAAGGCAGGGCCTGTACTTTCTTTGTTCTGCTCCACTCTAATAACACTGCTGCTTCTATGTACCCAGTGATAAAAAAGGAACAGGCAAACCTGTGGAGGAAAGGAAAAGGGATTAGCATTTTCAGATTGCTTCTGTTCCCTAGAAACACGGGTTTCCCACAACCATTGCTTGGCAGAACACAGGTAACTTCATGTAATGAAGCAACTAATGATGGGCCAACAAGATGTGTAGCCTGAGAATAGCGTGGGAACAGAGAAGGAATCTCAGGTCAAATTCACAAAGATCAGAAATGGGTTGTATAGACAAAGAAGCAGTAAATATTATGTTTTCCTACTGTTGCCTGGAAAAGAAAACTCCAAGTGTCCATTGTTTCCCCTTGGGTTTAATGAATGACTCACATACCAGCTAAAAGTTTTCAGCATCATTCCACTGAAGTACAAGGACTAGACCCATTGTTCACAGATTCTTGTTGCTGCTCTATATACTTCTAAACCTGTGATGCTGTAAGAAGTTCCCCAAACTAATCCCCATATAGATATTCCTTCAGCTGCAAATGCTTTAGAAAAGTCCGAGACTATATATATTTTTTTTAATTTAAATTTTATTTTTTAGGATAGAACAAAGGAGCCCTAACTAGATGTGATCAGAAGACACTCCAGTTTGTCCACTTTAGCCTGGTCTATCTAAGGCTTTGGCACTTCATTTTAACTCTCAGGTTTTTGAAAGCTGAGCCTCAAATTGCTGCTGCATGGGTTTAGTCTGTGCACAGAGTAATTACACAATGAAGAATAAAGTGCAAAGTGATATGGATAGAGTTTTAATGTTTACCAAAAAAAGCTGGCCTATTTTTTTTTTCATCATGTTCTAAGAAAATCTGCTGCAAATAATAAGAGCGTAGTTACTGCCCTGCATAATTCAGACTAGGTACACAACCTGCTTAGACTTGGCTTCAGAATAAATCAGAAATAGGAGATGGGCTGTTTTATGATGGGCATATTTTGAATTCAAGGAAATGAACTTTTTTTTTTTTTTAAAAAAAAATTATCATCCTACATCTGTATTTGAATCCACAAATGGTTCCTGATAGAATAACACATTGATTAAGTCATCAAACAAAACACTCTCTGGCACTGGTAGCAGTGAGGCAGCAGCTGTTTCTAAGAGCAATTGTATGTCAAGTGAAAAAGCTGGCAAGCTGCAAGTTAACATTTAGCTACCTGACCAGGTTATCTTTTTCAGTAGCAAGAAATGTGGAGTCAGCAGAAATTTTTCTACCCAAAGGACACGGAAGGAAGGGAACCTCTGCCTTCCAATTCATTATTTAATATACTTGATGCAACCCTTATGTTCACAATCTGTAGCTACACTGAGAAACATAAGTGATCCAAAATCTCCAAGGACCTTAATCATTACAGAACATGCAGGAGGAACTTGTTGACAACAGCAGCAGTAATTTAAATCTGCTGGCACTTTTGCAGACAAATAGCTCTGTATAAAATCCAGCTGGAGGTGGCTTCTCCTCCTCTTGGTCTCTGAACATCGACATCAGGACATCCTAAACTACACCCACTGGGTGATTAGCAGGGCAGTTGGTAAATCCTGTGGATGATGGCATGGAGAACACTACTAGGTTAGGGGGACTTTTTCTCTCCTGAGACAAACATGAAGCAATCTACTGCAGCCATCAAAGGCAGAAATGCTCCCCCAGAAACAACCCTTGTGTTTCTTCACAGCTTTTTCACTGCTGGACAGCAACCATGGATTTTTCATAGAAATAGTTACCCTCTGCAAAATTACAAATCTTTGCTATCAAAATCTACAAGCAATAATGGATTGGTGCTGTTAAGGCTTTTGTTTGTTTCTCCAACAGAAAGTTATTTTCTCATGAATTTTTAGACAAATTCTAACAAATCATTCCCACCCCTGCCAGGAGAGGAAAACCAAATGTTTTCCTTGAGCAGAACTTGCATAACAGCCTCCGCATCCTCTTTAATGCCATTTCTGGAATAAATATATTTTTAAAGTTTGTTCTTTGATGAACTTGTCCAAGTACTAGGAAGTTCTCAAAGAACAAGATAAAAGTCTGCCATTTGAAACACTTACTGGTTACCTCTGCTGTCAATGCCAGCCTATTCATTGCTGATTCTTATCCTACCCATTCTTGAGAAGTCTTTCTCAAAGTACACTCTGCCCACTTGGATCTGCTGCTCCCCAAATCTCTATAGATTCAAGTTCTCATTAACAAAACTAGCAACCATGCAGAGCACTGGTACAAAAACCATCCCATCCTCTACCTGCATCAGAGGAGGACATGGTGCAGCAGACTGAGACTTCACAAGTCTCCTGTCACCAGTGAGACCCCTCTGGGGTCTTGTACTTGTGTGCAGACCTCTGTCTCCCTGCTACAGCGTTGCTCAAAACATCCTCCAAGATTGGTAACTACAAGTTTTGTAGTCTGTAAAATTCAAAACACTTTTCTGGATGTTAACGGACAAGGATGGTACATTAAAAATCAAGAGGCTTAAAGAAAAGACCATGAAAAGGAAATAAACCATCTTTGCTATAATTTTTAAATTAAGTCTGCAGGAGCTTTTATGAAGCTAGTGAAAACCTTTTAGATGAACCTTTAGGGCTCATAAATTTAAAATTATTTTCTTTCTGCTCTCTCTTCACTGATATTGCTCAAAAACCACTGCTGGAAATAGTTGTCAGCAACATAATCCAGCCTGTGAAAGGCACCAAAAAGGCTTCTATGCCTACAAGTAACAGTGCAGCTCCTCAAGGCACATCACTTCTGGTCCTTGTTGTATTTTTCCCCGTTTTTAATTTAAATACGCAGCAACCTTTACCACATGAAACCAAGATGGCAAAACATTGGATTTGATATGTGTGCTGGGCCTGGACTGCCTTGCTGTGAACTACAAGAAAAAGTGGTGCCTTGAGATTCTCTGAGTTTGAAAGAGAAGAATCCATGTTACTTGTCTCCCTGCTCCCAGCTTTGAGGGAAGCTTTGGCCAACATCTTCTTTTCCACATAGCAGCCCACAGCAACAAAGTCAGGCAAGCAAACCCCTGCAGAAGTTTACCCAAATTAACATGTAACTGTTGCTGGTCAGCTTTGAGCATGTCGCCAGCACAGTTACAGGAACTTGGTCCTTACCCTAGTACTTACGCTTTCAAAATATTATAAACAACTGATAATCAAAACAAAAGCAAAGCTAAAAACCACACAGTAAAAACCTGGGGATTAACATTGCAACTACAGGCCAGCCTACCCTTCACTTGGCTTCTGTGCAGTATTTCACCACAAATTTTATGTTTGCCAGTAAACTTTTCAAAACAAAGGAGTATCACTTGTGTTTGTGCAATATCCAGCACCATGGCACCTTGCTAGTTGTAAGGTACAGAAACTCTACTGTTAAGTGTGTGTTCAAGAACACAAATAAGTATTTTCTCATTTGCAAAAATGAGGAAAAAATATGTGCCTGAAATTTGAGATTAGATAAAAGTTCTAAGAGTCACTATACTTATCTAATTAGCAAAAGGCACAGAAATATTGTTCCACTGATGCTTTACAAGAGAAACTTCTGTGTTTGAGTGAGATTACCCAGAACTGGCACATCTGGAGGGCACTGGTTGTGTTCCCAGAGACACCTGCAACCTGGCGTGTGCTGCTGACTGCAGGCTGGCAGGCAGGAGGGGGGGTGCAGGCAAACAAACATTTATCTGGCCCCTTCATACAAGAGAGCAGTGACCTGGATCCTTCCCTGCTCCAGAGGAAGGATGTAGAGAGCTGGGAAGGCAACACTTGCTGCCTTGCCAGCAGTGCGGCAGCAACATCTTCCTCACTTCCCAATGGTTTTAGCTGCATCAGTCTGCAGAGAAACGCTCAGAAAAATGCCTCTGCAAAATGCCTAGCTCTGCAGTGTCATTCTCAAATTACAAAGCATTTCTAATGCAGGATCACGGAAGAGGATGCAAAATGAGCTCAGTCCTGTAGTTGCAGGGAGGAAGAAATGCTGTCGATAATGGAAATGCATCATCGGGATTGTGATAAAATGTTTGGAATTACTGCACTGGCAACTTTTCCAAATGGGTTGGCTTAGAGACAGGTGTCTTGCACAGATTACTAAATTATTTTCTTTACAAAAGTCTAAGTGGCTCTGTTTTCCAGATGAATAGCCTGAAACTACTTGGTTCTGAGCTTTAGTCCCCTGAGGTTTAACTTGGACAGTAAAGAAATGAGACAGATGAACACTAAACGACTCTGTGTATGGAGCCAACAGTGGTTTGGCTGATGAGAACACTTTAGGTAAAGTACCTTTCAATTTAAAATAAAGACAAAGATGAACTGAGGCTAGTTAAAAGTTACAAGAAGTCAGAAGCAGTATTTGCCAACAGAGCATTTTAAACCAAGTAAACCTTCCTAAAGAAAATCTTGGGTTCACCACATCTCATCTCATCTGGGAGAGCTGCCTTGCCAGGCAAATTAAGGGCAGTAGTTTGGCATCGGCACTTTCCCAATCCAGCCAACCCAGCCACCGCCAGACTCCCTCTCCCCCTTGCCTGCCTGCTTGCCTGCCTTCATCCAAACATACAGTAATACATTTGCCCAGCATTTACTGACCAACACTTACTTTTTTCTTGAAATAGAGCACCTGCGCTCAGGGAAGGAAGCTCTTTGCAGCCGCCTGCACATCTGGTGTGTGGTGACACAGCGCTGCTGGCAGGGACCAAAGCAGGGAGAGGACGTCAGGGAGCAAGGTGAATGTCTCACTCGCATGTGGTACCACCTAGACGCAGGTTTCCATCAGCCTTTGCTAACACAGAAAAGGTCCCGGGCAGCACAGCAGGAAACAGCAAAGTTCAGCCCCTCTGGTAGCTGCTCCAAGCTCCAAAGAGGATTGGAGGCCAGGGTACAGCGACGAGCTAGGAAAGTTTGTTCTGTCTGTGACTCATGGTCTTGCTAGCATGCCTTCCGTGTGCTCTTGTCAAAGCACTCTGCACTTGTGGATGGCACCGAGCTGAACTGCTCACCGGGGAGGAGACTCAGATACGCCGGGGAGACCTCTGGGGGAAGAGAGAGAGAGAGGGAGAGAGAGGGAGGAATGATGAACGACATTCATTCTTGAAATTTAAATTTATCTGTGGCTTCTACACAGTACATTTCAGACATCCCCATTAAATTAGTCCATTAGATAAAATCCCATTAATCAGATTATTTGGTCAGCTGTGGCTTATACAGAACTTGTTACAGTTTTAGTATTTTATCATCAAATATAGTTCTGCATAATTCAAACCTCACAACACCAAGCACAAACGGCCCACAATTAACAGCTTCAAATACAAGCAGTTTTTGTCACACAAACACCAGCAAGAGCTCACACCACTCTCTACTCCACTTGTTTATTTTAGTCTGGTTTACATCTGAATTTCTTCTCTGGGTTCAACTGATACAAACTCATGCCTGCAAACACAATAAACCAGTTCCAGCCAGGAAGCTTCAACCTGTCACCAAAGTTGCAATCAGACCCTTAAGCATTAACTTCAGAAATTAAAGTAGCATATCTGATGAATTAGCAGAAGGGAATATAACAGCATACTTCTGTGCACCAGGGAAAATTTCTACCTTCTGCAGTCACCAGTGGACTATCAAAACCAGTATAGCATGACACATGGTGTTGCAGCATCCCCAGGCTAGAAAAGTAAGTAATCTGAGTCACCCACAAGCAGAAAAACATTCAAAAGGTCATAAAAAAGCTACTAAGCCTCATAAAATTAAATCATTACATTAATTAATTAAAACCTCTATGAAACAGCAGAGTTGAATTTTGCTATAGTAGTCTGGCTTTGGAGACTGCCCTTCAGTAATCCAACCAAAACTTGGCGTGTTTCCATCTCCACTTATTCTCCCTGGTTATGTCTAGAGCATCATCAGACACCCATCTGAAACATCAGAAAGAAATGAAGAACAGGATGGAGGGATTCAAGAAAAATAAATACTATTATCTAGCTTTCATCCTGTTCTTTTTATTCATGAATCTCAAACTCATTTATCCAAGACAGTAAATAGTGTCCTTTTGCAAGCCTGAATAGTGGCCATGAGCCTCTACACGTATTATGGAACACAGCATGGTTGGCAAGGGGAGTCAGTCCAGCACGGGAGCCCAGGCCAAGGAAGAGCATGATAGTTTGAGGAACTGACCAGCTCCTAAAAATCACTGCTGCACAGCGTAAGAAAATAAAACGACAAAATTCAACAGTGCCTCCTGTACACTCACACAGACCTTAGAGCAGACCTCGAAGCAGCACCAGCCAAGGCACATTCTGCTTGAAGCTGTACAGGCATCCAAAAAAGGTGGAAATCTCTGCCCAAGAGTTTCCTGCGGGTATCTAACACCATGCAGAAGTGCTAAATGAGTGGGAAGGAGGAAGAGAAGCAGCAGCAGTAGAAGGAAGGCCATTAGCAGATGTGTGTTATTTGCAGCAGTGTCTGCGCCACAAAACCAGCCCCAAAGGAGGATCGGCACAGAAACAAGAGCATAGTGGAGGCACTGACATCTATAAGCATGAAAAACAAGGGAAAGTTACTGAATGTAACTGATCTCAGCTAAACTACAGACCTACAGTCATATAAATATTCCAAGTACCAACACATCAGCGCTCTTGGAAGAGGGGAGAAAGCCAAATGTGAGGCACAGGAGACTTGCACAGTGTGTTCTTGTATGAGAGGATCCTGCAGTGGAACAGCCATTGCATGTTCTTGGCTCTGCATCACTGTCTGTTTCTAAGTACCACAGAAATTATGTCTTTAAAAAGTCCTTTTTCCAACAAAAATGACTTTAAACTGGTAACTTCCCTTTACCAGGCTACCCTACAAATACAATGCAATTTATACTGCATACAGATCACAAATCCCAGGGAAGACTTCGTTGTGCTACTAGTTTGAGGCCGAAGGCACTCACCTTGGTGACCATCTCGGCAAGAGATAGCTACCAAAATCAGCCTATAAACAGAGAACAGACTGCAGTAGCTGCTTTGAGGATAAGACAAGTGACAAGCCCCCAGCTTTAAGCACCAGCATTGCACAATGCCTCATCTTGTATCTTTTATAAAATAACCTTTCAGAAATGCAGTTTCCAAAGTCACTAGTCTTGCTGGTGACACACAGCTAGGGGAAACAGAGAATTTACATTGATTAGAATAGATCAGATTTATGGACTAACAAGACAGATGATGCAGTGAACCAAGGAATGAAATGTAACACAGCCAAGAAAAAATTAAACACATGCTATATTCCAGCCAAAGCAGCAGTGTACAAATAGACAGGAAATACAATCTACAAATATTCACATAACGTTTAGTAACATTATAAAGGAAAACCAGAAGAGATATTGCAGCTCTTACAGACTTCATAATACAGAGTAAAAGCCAACGGAAGGCTGTCAGGTAAGTTAAGAAACATCTGTATGAAAGGCACAAGGAACATTTCAATCTCAGGAGCACTTGTTGCCACACTGAAAAATGTGAGACACTGCCAAACAGATTTCCAGAAGGTTCAAATCCAGTCCTGAAAATATTTCATAGATATCAGGTTATTTGGGCAACATCAACATTTTTGCAAAATGAAACCTACAGTTACATTAAATCAACCTAAAGCCTGTAGGATGTGATCACCTTTGGGTATGCGACAGATAAATGCAATAGGGAAGGTGTCTCCCAAAATGAAAAGGTGTAGCAGGGAATAAAACTAGCTTTGAGAAAAATGGGAGTGATAAGCCAAGAATTTGAACTTGTCCCTGAAAAAGCCCTGGTGGTCTGTTACTCATGGCTGAACCATATTAGAGAAAATGCTGTGTCAAAGGATATATTGGATTACAAAACCGATACTGCTGGGGGGAATATTGTGAGAGATTTTAGCGCGAAGAATTTCTTGACCGATAGGAACATCCTTAAGATTGTAAAAATGTTCTTTATGAAGGCTTATACTTCTGCTCTGAAAACGTTTACAAACATGCTTAACTTTATATGTGTTGACTAATTAAAAGCAACTGGGATAATCATGTACTTTAACATGTTCAGCATTATAAAAATCAAGTGGATTGGCATGTTATATGTTTTCATCTCTCTGTGGCTCACTATCTAATTTTTGCAGCTGTATTCAGGGTAACGAGAAGAACTGAAACTCCCAAAAAGCGAAGAGAAGTTGCAAGATTTTAAAATACTATCAGAAGTAACACAATTTTTCTAAACTATCCCTTTTACTTGAGAACACTCATTTTTAAAGGTCCTCTGTACATACAACATTATAGAATGTTTCCTCAAACATTGCAACTTATTAGATGTAGTTTCTTAATTGGGCTGAGAAGTAAAATTATCATTCAGATGTTAGCAGTTTTGCTGTTCAACATGTAATCTATTTTGAAAGCTTAAACAAATTCTATAAATATTTAAATTAAATATAATCTGCATTTGCTTAGTGATTCTAATTAAGAATTAAGTTGCTGTTTGCCTGAAATGTGTAAGTGTTTAAAGTCAATGCAGTAGCAGTATAATGTCAGGGCATTTAAGATCCTGTACTATTATTAATCCATTTTTCAGCGTATTGCAGGCTGAGTTTAGCACTGTAGTTGAGCTGCTACAACTAGTCAGAATCACCTTTAAAAAAAACCCTGAAAATCTACCAAAAAAATTTAAAAACTCAGTTTTAAACTGCTATGACTGAGACACAGAACAGGATTTTAGCCAGTTTTTTTCCAGTTTTATTCCTACTTTAAGCCCAGTTTCTCCAGACCTTCTTTCCACAGGCAAAACTCTGAGCCAATGACTTCGAGCCCGCTGGATTTCTTCTGGGTCTGACAAAGGAGCCTCACAGAGATTTATTTATATGGCTTTGGGGAGAAAAGCTACCTATGCTGACTTCACATTATTCTTTTAAAACAAGCGAGTTACAATCCTGTTTATGACAAATATTTATTCCTTCCATAATGGTATGGTATCCGAATCCTACCCATGGACTCCCCTGGTACTAAGTAAATCCAGGAAGACCAAAGGGTACCTCCCTCACCCCAGAGCATGTCCCCAGCACACTGAACCCATGTCGAGGATGCCCGTTTCAGAGCTTCTTACTCAAGCTCTGTGTGTGTGTGTGCAGGAGGCAAAAATGTCTGTGGTTACTGGAACAGGCTTCTCCGGAGGCACTGCAAGCTACAGGCTGTGTGTGGGAAACACAACATGATGAGACATGCGACCAAGCCAGCGTGCAGCTGTCCGCACCACGAAGGGCGACCCTGCAGAACGGCGGAGGCAAACCAAACGCATCCTGGGCAACTCCCGTGCGTTACTGGATGTGGCAGTGCCTGCTTCCCCTGAAGGAACAAAGAGCTGGCTTTTCCAATCCTATCTCATGTCTGAGAAGGAAAAAAATACATAAAAAATGCAAGACGCCGGGTAGCAACAAATTAGATGCCTAAAGACCAGGACTGAGAACAAAACCATTACAGTTATTTAATTAGAAAACTAGCTATTAAAGTAGACTGCAGTTGTTTAATAATAGTTTGTCACTGAACTAATGTAATTAACTGTTGGGCAGAAACAGGGAGAATACAGTGGTTACAGATCTTGGAAAGAAGTAACTAGAGAAGAATGAATTGCAAAGGTTCTAACTCTCAGATTCAACTGCAAGTCTTTTTCTTTCTTAATCCACAAACAATTAAAAATGTTTCTTCTATTTGTTCTAATCTTTGAAAGTATGACTGCATAGACTGCAGTTGCATTTTGACCACAGTATAAACACGTACTGGACAACTTTTTCTCTGTATGTCTCTGCACATTGGTTGGAGAGAGAGAGTCAGAGACTATGCCTGCCCCTTACCCCAGAACTGCTTATATGGGATTGAACTGGGAACCAGAAATAGAACCATTTAAACCTAGTTTCAGTAATACTGGGTGTTACTAACTAAAGCAAAGGAATATTATTAGTTTACAGAAAATGGCTTTCTGTTTTCCTTTGAATGGCTTCATGGCATGTACGAAGATAGTAAGAAAATAGCTGTGTATCTCTGGAGACC